TCTCAGCTGGAACCCATACTGTAACTTCAGCAGGCCATTCCATAAAACTATCAAGCCTGCTGGATAGAGATGCACATGGTAAGATGAGTGAATTTCATGGCTATCTCTATACCTCTTTCATAACAAAATGAGTGTCTTGCTCTCAGACACTCATTGTGTGAGATACCATGGTGACAAAGGTTCTGCTGGCACACTATACCTTGATTTGATTACCACAGCTTCCTTCTTTCACCACCTATTGGATGTTCACCTTACTGTCTGCTGATACCTTTTCCTGGTGGAGTGTCTCAAATCTTCATTCCCAAAGATTCAAGACCATAGCCTTCTTTTCACTGAACTACCACATTTTTTTCCAATGAACATTATTACTGAACAAAGGAAAACTATTAAGTTTGCTGCTGATTTGTTTATAGATAAAATCTATCTTTTCTTTACTGTATGATAACAATCCAATCGTTCCTTCGTGCCTGTGCTGAAACAACATGGTCAGTATAGTGACACTTGTTGACTATTAACTCAGTGTGATGAGCCCCAAATGGCAAGGGGTAGTCTCAGCTTCCTGTTTAATGGAAATTTTGCTGGAGTTTCATGTAATACACGGTACCCTGGAGGAAAAACAGCACCCCAAACTCACAAGATGTTGTTTCTCAGCTGGAACCCATACTGAAACTTCAGCAGACCATTCCATAAAACTATCAAGCCTGCTGGATAGAGATGCACATGGTAAGATGAGTGAATTTCATGGCTATCTCTATACCTCTTTCATAACAAAATGAGTGTCTTGCTCTCAGACACTCATTGTGTGAGATACCATGGTGACAAAGGTTCTGCTGGCACACTACAGGAAGAGAAGGCAAATCTTTTCCTGAAATACATAGTTTTTCGTGTGAGAACAAATTACTGCCCATGATGGAAAGGATCCAATATAATCATTCTGTAACAGATACTCCCTGTTCACCAAATCCACTTAGCATCAAGACATCAATCTAATAATCAAGCATTATCTTCTGTGCAATAGCAAGACAATCCAGGTTCTTTGGGACTATATAATGCTAGAAACCTAGAGAGTTAATGGAGGTCTGGAGCAAGATTGTGAATGTATACTACGACATCTGCCATATGATATCAAACTATTTCTGATTATATTTATTGATAGAAATAGAAAAGAATATATTTGATATTGCAGCAGCAAACTATAGCCTTTGCACCAAATGTGGCCTACCATTTCTGTATGGCTTTCAAGTTAAGAGTGGTTTCTACATATTTTAATGGTTGAAAAAAATCAAAACAAGAATAATATATTGCAACATGTGAAAATTACATAAAATTCAAATTTGCATTCAAAAACAAGGTTTTACTGGAAAACAGTCACACTCATTTGTTAATATATTGTCTTTCATGTTACAATGGCAGAGTTGTATGACCCTTATGAGTGGCCTTCAAAGCTTAAAATATTTATTTTTTTTTAAGCTTAAAATATTTAAAGTGATGGATATAGAAAATTATAGCAAAATTAGCCCCTGGGTTAGGTCAGTAGCTATCTCCGTCCTCCAGCCATAGAGAATGTGTTGATTTTCTCCAGAAAAGATGCTACATTCAGTAAAGCAACTATGACCTGTATTGTCTTTATCTGATCAAGTTTACTCTAACTTGCAGTCATTTTCTAAGATCATTGGCTTTTGTACCAAATATACAAGTTAAATGGAAATGTGCTTCCCTGGTAGCTCAGCTGGTAAACAATGCGAGAGACCCAGGTACAATCCCTGGGTGGGAAAATCCCCTGGAGAAGGATATGGCAACCCACTCCAGTATTCTTGCCTGGAAATTCTTCTGGACAGAGAAGCCTGGCAGGCTACAGTCCATGGGGTCGCCAAGAGTCAGACACAACTTAGTGACTAAACCATCATAATAAAAAGCAGTATTCCTGTTTCTTTCAAGTCTTTGATGTTGCCACTAATCTTTGCAGTTCCCAGAAACTGCAACCCCCTGGTTTTTCTTCCAGCATGGTATTTTAGCATACACATTGGCAAGGAAGGAAGACAGTTCTAGGGTCTTCTACTTATGTACAACCATAACAATCTTCATGCCACAGCTCAGACCATCAGTATAGGCATTATTACTGTTACTAAGTATATCTGTTCTCATTATATAATCAAGACTGGGAAAATAACCACATTATAGTCCCACCAGCCCATGCATAAGAGACAGAATAAAGATAAGACTCTACCTATCACTCCACTTCTACAAATCTCTAACAATGACTGGCGGATTATGATGGTACTAAGGGTCTACGGGGATAACTGTCAGTTCAGACCCAAGGTCTAATGACCCCTCTGGAAGTTTGGGCATTGTCTTTCCTCACTGCATGTTTATTCTGGTGGTGTCCTGGTGGCTCAGACAGTAAAGAATCTGCCTGCAATGCAGGAGACCAGGGTTCAATCCCTGGGTCAGGAAGATCCCCTGAAGAAGGTAATGGCTATCCATTCCAGTATTCTTGCCTGGAGAATCCCATGGATAGAGAAGCCTGGCGGGTTATAGTCCAAAGAGTAGAACATAACTGAGCAACTACCACTTTCGCTTTCACGCTTTCACTTTCCTGGTAAATAGCTGTAAATTATGTAGTGAAGTTATAGAGGAAGATGCATAGTATACCCTGTGACCACACTACAAAACTTTGCAAAAGGACCCAGCATCTATCTCAGATCTGTGGCCTGGCTTAGGGCTGCGAACTTTATAAAAACTCTGAATCCCCAATATGGTAGCTTAAGATGGGTCTCTGTGCATTGGATAGAAATTTTCTACTCAGAAAAGACAGGAGAGTATATAAAATTTTTTTCATTCTTATGTACTCCAGTTAGTATCACAGATCTCTGTGAACTGAAACAATCAATTACTAGTCTTCCTTACTCCTTATTTTGGTAATTTTTTCACTAAAACTTTGATAGTTATATACCAACTTCTGGCCTCTACCATTCCAGGTTGCTATGATTCCTTTGAAATTAGGCAGTTCAACTCCATCTAAGTATCTCCATCCACAATCTTTAGCCTATAGAGGAAAGCTACAACACATCAGTTCTATCATTTTTAAATACTATGTCTTCAAAGTGCACCAATCATAAAGGTATTTCTATAGAAGACTTAGTCCCTTTAAAAGTAGAAAAGTAAAAAAATAAATAAAAATGTGAAAACACAAAAAAAGAGCACATAAAATAAGAGTCACTGAGAGTAATACTGGGGTACATACTAAAATGGGGTATACAAACAAAATCTTGGAAATATTAACAAAATCGATGTATCATGAACAAATGTAGGGAATAGAGTTGAAAGAAAGAACATCATTAAGAAGAAAATCAAATTCTAATTGTGAAGACGATGTATGATATTTGACATTAGGAATTAAACTATGTTTCAAAAGAGCAGTTAACAGGAGAGTTGTCTCATTAGAAAAAAGAGTGAAAATAGAAATCACAAAATTGAACACTTTCAACTAAGTCACATGATTTAAATTTATCATCTAGCATTTTATCTTTAATGAAAAGCAGTTGGAAGCCTCAAAAAGATTCTGAGTAATAAAATTAATAAACTGAATACTTCTAAAAGTATTATTTCCCTCAAAAGATCCTGGGAAACAAAGCAAAGACTCTATACACTTCAGCCATCCAGGTCTTCAATGTCTAGAATATGGTTGCAAAAAATCACCAAGGAAAAATGAAAACGAGAAATATTTCTTCAAAAAGAAAGAAAAACAAAAGACAAATTAATTATCCCCCTGAACTTCACAGCAGTCCTTGAAATATATTTCTCAAGACACATATAAAAAAAAATTATTTACTTTACTGTCTCGTAGATCCTCCTGTTTTATGTGTTGTAATTACAATTCAATAAAGGAACAGTTGTTCTAACAAAAACTTTCTGCTAGAAGAGGAGGAGCTGAAAGAATCCAATTCTCTATTCATTTGACAGTCTGAATTTATGCAGGAAACAAAGACAAATATATCCCCAAGGCCCATTCAGTTCAGTTCAGTTCAGTCACCCTGTTGTGTCTGACTCTTGAAGACCCCATGGACTGAAGCATGCCAGGCTTCCCTGCCCATCACCAACTTCCAGAGCTTGCTCAAACTCATGTCCATCGAGCTGGTGATGCCATCCAACCATCTCATCCTCTGTCATCCCCTTCTCCTCCTGCCTTCAATCTTTCCCAGCATCAGGGTCTTTTCCAGTGAGTCAGTTCTTCATATCAGGTGGCCAAACTATTGAAGTTTCAGCTTCAGCATCAGTCCTTCCAATGAATATTCAGGACTAATATCCTTTGGGATTGACTGATTGGATCTCCCTGCAATCCAAGGGACTCTCAAGAGTCTTCTCCAACACCACAGTTCAAAAGCATCAATTCTTTGGCACTCAGCTTTCTTTATAGTCCAACTCTCACATCCATACATGACTACTGGAAAAACCATAGCCTTGACTAAAGGGACCTTTGTTGGTAAAGTAATGTCTCTGCTTTTTAATTTGCTGTCTAGGTTGGTCATAGCTTTTCTTCCAAGGAGCAACTGTCTTTTAATTTCATGGCTGCAGTCACCATCTGCAGTGATTTTGGAGCCCAGAAAAATAAAGTCTGCCACTATTTCCATTGTTTCCCTACCTATTTGCCATGAAGGGATGGGACTGAATGCCATGATCTTAGTTTTCTGAATGTTGAGTTTTAATCCAACTTTTTCCCTCTCCTCCTTCACTTTCATCAAGAGTCTCTTTTGTTCTTTGCTTTCTGCCATAAGGCAGAAAGACTTATGAAAAGGCAAAAAGGCTCATTCAGTGTTCTAGAAATATTAAACCACCAAACCAATGGTCACACAGTGACTACTCATTTGAAGAGTTATATCAAACTACTATCCCAATGTTAATGGCTTCTGAACACTGCATTCATCTTCACAGAGAATGGAGATAAAATCAGCTTTATTTTAAAGCATTTGTTTTACTTAAAAAAAAAAAAAAAACTGTACCTGATTTTGCTGCATGTAAGTTCTGTGTCTCACTGTTATGATGTCCATTTCTCCACTGACTTAAAACTTTCTGAAAGGATTGGGCAGAAGCTTCTTCATTGAAAGGCACTTCACACAAGGGCTTGTCTCTTGGATTTGCACATTCTTCTTTTTTTGTTGCTGGATCTTCTACCTAAACGAATTAACAGTGCATCTAAGTGTGCTTTGCCAAATGTTCTGTATCTTAAAATACAGGAAGCATTGATTATTGAGCATTGTGAAATCACACATTTTTTTTTTTTACTTCAAATGTTTTTAATTTGTACTTATTTACATGCTTTTCTGATTTCTTTAAAACTCTATAGACAGTTATAAATGGTATCTTTGAAAAATATTAAAGCTAGAGCCTATAGGACTGAGGATTTGCCACTGTGTTATTCATGAGGGTTTTCTCTGGAAAGCAGTGACGGCCTTGCATCAAACCCTACTTCTCCAATCTCCTGCTCCCTGCAACCTCCCCAGAACAAAAAGAGCAGTTTCATTACCATGTAAATCTGAGGTGGTTTCTCTGCTCCAAATCCTCCAAGACTGTGAAACCCTCAGTTCCTACCAGGGCTTACAAGGTTGTACACAAGCTTGTCTTCCCCTGCCTTTCACTCCACTTCCCCCAGGTCTCCCCTTCATTCACCCTGTTCCAGCCAAACGTCTCTTCTTGCAATTCTAGGAACCCATCAAGCCTCATACTAGCTATAGCTAATGCCTGAAATGACCCTTCCCCATATTTTCATACAGTCATTCCACTCATTTCATTCAGTCTTGGCTCAAATGTCACTTGCTCAGAGAAAAAGCAATGATCCTACTGATGACATAAAAACAAAGTCCTTTCCCCCACTTTCAGATCCCTTATCTGTTTTATTTTTCTCCCAGTAACTTATATCCATGTGAATTTACTCTACATGTGTGTTTACTGATGATCTCTCCCCATTAGACTATAATGGGATCTGGAATGTTGACCGTTTCCTCAGGGCCAAGAGCAGTAACTGGCACAAAGCAGGTACTCATTAAAAGTCAGTTGAATGAATGGACATATCAATTAATGCATATGAAACACTGCCTGCTTTTCAGTATAATGCTGGAGAGAAAGGAGAATTCAGTACAAAATATAGATTTACTGTGAATACACAAAAGAAAATGAAGGTATGATTTGGCAGTTATCCAGTGAATCACAGAAAACAGCAAAATTGGGGAACTAAAGCAAAATAAGTTCCACAACAGTTCTGAATTATAAAATGTGGATTACCTACACTGATCAAATTGCTTAAGCTCCATTGTGTACCTTCTAGATACAGCAGTAGAATCCACTACGTTCAGCCCTTAATTGCAAAATAAATAGGCACATTGTTAGAGAACAATTGAGAGAAGATTGTTAAATATGTGCATATATAAAATTCAACATAAACAAAAAGCGTCTGGAACCTACAAACACTATGCTAGTCATTGCCGTGAAACACAGCTTACTAAGTCCATAATAGAAACAGAAGCAAAGAACAAAAATTTAACTCAGAGAAAACAAGAATCCCATGGGCAAAAAGTGGCAAAGGCAGTATTCTAGAGCAAAAGAATGATAAGAGTGAAGCCATTCCTTTCTCCAGGGGATCTTCCCAACCCAGGGATTGAACTTGGGTCTCCTGCATTTCAGGCAGATTCTTTATCATATGAAGAAGTGAAGTGAAGTCTCTCAGTTGTGCCCGACTCTTTGCTATCCCATGGACTATAGCCTACCGGGCTCCTCTGTCCGTGGAATTCTCTAGGCGAGAATACTGGAGTGGGTTGCCATTTCCTTCTCCAGGGGATCTTCCTGACCCAGGGATGAAACCTGCGTCTCCTGCATTAGCAGGTGAATTCTTTATTTCTGAGCTACTGGGGAAGCTCTATGTCCTGAATGCTGAGCAAAGAAAAATAGCACTCGACCTGTGCTGTCCAGGGGCTTTGAATAAATGTAATGGGCAGACACAGTAAAGAATAAAGACATCTCCAAGGAGGAGNCAATGTGGGAGACCTGGATTTGATCTCTGGGTTGGGAAGATTCCCTGGAGAAGGGAATGGCTGCCTAATCCAGTATTCTTGCCTGGAGAATTCCATAAACAGAGGAGCCTGGAGGGTCACAATCCAGGGCTTTGCAAACAGTCTCACAAAGAGTCAGACGTGACTGAGCAACTTTCACTTTCATATAGAATGAGAAGGTTGTGGGATATACTTATATGAATAACAACAGTATATTGTTAAAAGTAAAAAGTCTGTTTTCACAGCAGCATGCAACATATTAGTATTTGTGTTAATGCATACCTACAAAATTGAAATTATTATTAACATCCAAAAGGGAGATAATTAAATGCCCTTTTCACTTTACAAACCATTTGCACTTTAAGAAATTGTTAATTTCAGTATCTGGAAGAGCAGTAAGAATAGAAGTGACCAAATACTCAAGGGTTTTCAGATGGTTTTAAGACATGGTAATTGATTGGAATTGCAAAGGAAGAAGATAAATGACTATAGAAAATAACTGTTCTTGCTAGCTTGAAGAGAGCTGTCACCAACAGTAATATCTATAGGTTTGGAGAAGAGGTGATGAATTTAGCTTGGAAATACTAAGTCTTAGAAGTATGTGAGAAGGTATTTTCAAGTATTCAGTAGTAAGCAGTGTGTGTGTGTGTGTGTGTGTGTGCACTACACTCACGAAGAAGCACTAAAAACTCAGTGCTTAATACAAAATGAGTGGACTGTTCCAGTGATTTCAGCAGCTCTCCAGGGCAGCTCCCTTTCAAGCAGTGAATAAGAGATATAAGACATTTGCATTTTACAGCTATGCCTGTGGAATACTTGGTTTCCACACAGGGGTGACAGGACAGGGAAAAGTCAGAGGATGGTATATTCACTCTTAAATGTTTCAGCTGTCATTTGTGGCCCCTCTAGGCCAAATATACCCCTGCAAAATATGTTTTAATATCCCCACTTTCCAGAAAAGGAAAGGAAAGCTAAGTAAATCGCCCAATGTTACACCAGAGTTAGTATTTCAAGCTCAGGTTTCAGTCTCTAAAATGAAAGCTTTCATGAACTACACTCCCTTCCAAGGATATCCACTGGCTTGAATCCACCATTTTGTTTTTCCAGGCATTCAAGTTTCTGGGTAAACCAATTAAAAATCAGATTCCTTATTACTTAGCCATTACAAAGAATGAAATAATGCCATTTGCAACACATGGATGGACCTAGAGAGGGTCATACTGAGTAAATAAGTCAGGCAGAGAAGGAGAAATATCACAGGACATCCCTCATATGTGGAATCTAAAAAGAAGTGATACAAATGAACTTACTTACAAAGCAGAAAGAGACTCACAGACTTAGGAAATGAACTTATGGTTGCCCAGGGCAAGGGAAGGGATAGTTAGGGACTTTGGGAAGGTCATGTACACACTTATATTCAAGATGGTTAACCAACAAGGACCTTTTTTAATAGCACATGGAACTCTGCTCAATGTTATGTGCCAGCCTGGATGGCAGGGGTGTTTGGGGGAGAATGGATACGTGTCTATGGATGGCTGAGTCCCTTCACTCTTCACCAGAAACTACCACAACATTATTAACTGGCTATACCTCAATACAAAATAAAAAGTTTACAGTTAAAAAAATTTTTAAATAAAATATTTAGTCCTAAAGAGTAAATAAATAAAAATCAGATTCCTGGGCCCTAACCTAAATGTAAAAAAATCCAAATTCGAGTGGCAAGCCAGGAATACATATTTTTGAAAAGCTCCCGCAGTAATTCTGATGTTTCTTGCAGTTGGAAAAACTCTGCTCTCCAGCACAGAGGAGCACCAAGTGTACACCAGGGGCACGTATTCACTGTGTGCCCTGGATGCAGGTTGAGAGCAGGAATGATGCCCAAACAGGAGTATTCGACAGAACGAGCAGGTGTTAGAAGCCCATCACTGGACCACCCCCAGAGATGCTGAACTCAGTCACATGTGTTTCCCTAATGTTTCTCCAGTTGATTCTACTGGGCACTCCTGGATGAAACCACTGAATTAATATTTTTTAGGTTAAGATCAAGATTCTTCACAAGCACCCGTGGCAGGTCTACTAGTGAAATCTCCACCAGATTGCTACTCTTTCTAGACAAATCAAGTATAGTTTCTCTGCTGTAAAGAGACCCTGCTAACACAGAACATGTTTTCGTTTATGTTCTCTGATCAAAGGTTTGAAACTCAACAGACTGAAGTTCAAGCCTGATTCTGTCATAAAGTAACAAGTTGTGTGTGTGTGTGACTTTTGCCACGTCACTATTTCTGAACTACGCTGAAAGGTGAAAGTGAAAGTGTTACTCGCTCAGTCATGTCTGACTCTGTGTTCCCATGGACTCGAGGCCACCAGGCTTCTCTGTCCATGGAATTTTCCAGGCAAGAATACTGGAGCGGGTTGCCATTTCCTTCCCCTGGGATCTTCCTGACCCAGGGATTGAACCAAGGATCACCCGCATTACAGGTAGATTCCTTACCATCTGAGCTATCAGGAAAGCCCATGTGAAAGGGTGAGTGACATCTAAAAGAATGAGGATTATTACAAGGATCAAAATTTGAGGAAATTTGTTTCCTGCTAAAGAATCAATACAAGTCTATTATTAAAATACTGACATGAGTAGATATAAGCTTATCTAGGATCAGTAATCAATTTGAATAACCAGACAATTTGTTATAAATCTGATTTTAAGTAACTGTGAAATTGCCTGTCACTTAAAACACTTAGAAAGGTTTTGCACTTTTAGTCTCCCTGAGATCCCGATTAAAATAAAATTGCTATATTGCATTGTGTTATTTTCTTATGTTTCTCCCAAATATTCATTTCCTGATGTGGTGGAAATGCCTGGAAAGCAATAAAGTCAAAAGGTCATTCCTCAAAAAACCAGCAGCCAGTGAAATCAAAGCAATCCCCTCAAAAGGATTTTTACAGTAAAAATGTTTTTGATTAATAAGAAAACAAATTCATATTAAACACAATGTGATCAAATCATCTTTAACGCTAAACCTCTAGTATGTGAATGAATGACAGTCGCCATGATCATGTATGACAGAAAATGTCTACTGTATTTTTCTCCATTTACCTGAGAGCTGCTCCCCTGCAGAAGAGGAAGCGTGGTTTTCTGCCGGCTTTTACTAATCTCTTTTGTGGACCGATTCTCCCCTTTGGGTTCATCTGGATTAACTTCCTTTATAAACTGATGGGCAGCATCCAATACATTGGATAATAATTGCGATTTTGCCTATAAAAAAAGATAGGAATAAAAAGCCCAATGTCAGCCTAAGTAATTTATATATATTAAATCATGTTTTCATTATTCTGTGACTAGCAAAATTCAATGCATTTTATTCAATAGTTAAAAATATAAATTGCCATTTATATCAGCCATATATAATAGTGAGAGCTGCCATATACTGAAGGACTAGTCTGAGCTCACATTATCTTGAGTACCTTAAAAAACATATCATTTAATCCTCAAGTCAACTCTAAAGTGTTAACTATTTTTATCATTGTTTTAGTGATCAAGTTTGAGGGTTTAAATAACTTGATCATGGTTACATGGTGAGTGGGTGGCAGAGCTGGGAAGTGACCCCAGGTGTGTATAATTCTAATGACTCATAGCCTTTCCACTATATTGACCCCAAATAGATAGATGAGCTATTTGTGCACATCATGGCTAAAGAACTAAATATAGTTGATGTAGAGGGGGTCTGAATAAGCAGTAATGAATATTTTCTTGGTGATAAAACATCTTTAGGAAGTATTAACTACTCAAAGTGCACATCAGGAAGTGCCCTATCAAACTCCAAGTTCTTTTTGTCATGCCTTTGCTCATGAGATACCAGGAAGTCCCTCCCTCCTCTATTACCTCCTTTGCCTGGCAGACCCTACCTCCCCTTCTAGACTCACCCCAAGTTACTCCCACAGGTTCAGGAACCCCTCTTCGCCTTCCTCCCCTAGCTGCATGAGGTGTCCATTCTTTGTATCCTCTTCTTGTTCTAAGATCTTTACAAGCCCACACAAATACTGATTTTGAATCATTTTTTGATGTTGATCTATACCATAAACGTTCACAGAAGAAAAAACATCATGTCTTCTTAAGTCTCTACAGTTACTACAGTGCCTGGCAAATCGTAATATAGCAAAATAACATAAAGATAAGGTGTTGCAGGGGACAGAGAGAGCTACAGAATTAAAATAAATAATAAGGGAAACAAAAGAATTCAAAGACCTTGTCAAATGCCTTCACATGGCTGGAAGAACAAAACAGGCAAATCCCAGGAAGGTCCTGTTTTCTGAAGGGCTTCCTAGCAGCAATAACCCTGATTTGCCCAAGGACACTGCAGGAGTCTGGATCTCATCTGAGCTTGAACCAGATAAACTCTCGAGGGAAGATGCAAACCCTTCAGAGACTCGCTGAAAACCTAGTATTAGGTACACAAGGAATAGGTCTTGCTTCTTAAACAAACGTTCTCAAGACAGAAGCAAACTTCAGCAGGGATCAGAAATGGTTATTTTATACTCTCCCATGGAAATATCCCTATTCTAAAATTTTCATCTACTTACCTATTTAAATAGCTAAGACTACATTGACACTTTCCAGTTATGACCTTTTGTAAATCTATTAAGATTCACTGCAATCTGGCTTTGGAATAAATCAGTGAACATCAAATTAACCAGTGTTATTTCACACTGAATTAATAAATTTATCTATGAAAAATGACTAATATGACCTATGCACACATACTACTGTCCATATACAGACCTATGGCATCAGCTCCAAATTTTCCCAAAGATCATCAAAAAGCCTTTATAGACTTAAGCAGTCCTCATTTGTTAAAAGAAATTCATATTTATAATATGCAATTGTTGTCTATATTCACTATACTGTGCATTACATCTCCATGGCTTATTCACCACTTGTTCTGAGTTTGTACCCTTAAACAACAACAGTCTTATCCCCCCACTCCACTCTACCCTGGTAAACAGCACCTTACTCACTGTTTTTTATGAGTTTGACTTTTGGGATTCTACATATAGAGTCTATCATACAGTATTTTTCTGTCTCTGTCTGACATATCTCAGCATAAAGTCTTCAAGGTCCATCCATGTTGTCACAAGGGCCAAATGACATCCCCCTTTCTCATGGCTCAATGATACTTTATTGTGTATATAAGCCACAACTTTTTTATCCACTCTCCCATTGATTAGCATTTAGGTTCTTTCCATATCGTGAGTGATGCCACACAGGATTGTACCTACTTCTTCAAAACCCTCTTTTAATTTTCTTTGGGTATATATTCAGGGGTAGAACTGTCTAACTGAACGGTAGATCTATTTTTAATATTTTGAGAAAATCTCATATTATTTTCCATAATGGTTGAACCAATTTACATTCCCACTAACAGTGTACAAGGGTTCTATTTCCACCAAATCCTTCCAGGACCTGTTGCCTTCTTGATGCTATTCCTTGGTTTGCGGTTAGTGAAGACCATAAACAGGCACAAAGGAAAATTTGGGGGGAGTGATAGAAATATTGTGCATTAAATTATACTGAGGGTTACACAAGTGTATTGACAAACATATTTTCAGAACTAATTAAACTGCATACTTCAAAGGAGCATTTTACATAACAATATGAACATACGTATCACTGCTAAACTGTGCATTTAAAAATGGTTAAGATGGTAACATTTTATGTTGTTTGTATGCTACAATTTTTAAACAATGTGAACACAGAAGTAATGGGTACATTTTATGGGTTCATAAATTAAACCTGAATAAAATCGATTTATCAAGAAAAAAGAAAAAGGAAATTAAGCCAATGGTGATGTTTCATTTTTCCAGAAATACCTGCACTTTAACAAATATTTTTTTAAGCAAAGTAATCCAATTTAACCTAATTTTAAATTCCCTATAACAAAATATTATTTATTTCTAAGGTGGTTAAAATTTATAGTTTATACCTTATATTTTGAAAAATATCAGAAAGCAATAGTATTAATTTTATATAAAATTATCCAGACAGAATTATCATTCAAGTATATATATTTAAGTAACACAGAACAAAGATTATTCCTGTCTTAAAATGAATCTTGCTAACAATAACTCAACAATCCTTATAACACTTTTAGGTAACATATTAAGAGATCTTGAAATGGCCAAAAAATAATTTAATTCTTCAGTTAAATTTACTGCTAAATGATAAAGTAAATGTCATGAATAGCTGAAACATTGGAAGCCTATATCTAAACATCTTAAAATTCTGTTAATTCAATATATAAAATGCCAATGTGAATTTTCTTTCCCACAATGTCTTACATTACACAGGAAAAAAAAAAGTGAAAGTGAAAGTTGCTTAGTCATGTCCTACTCTTTCCAACCCCATGGACTATACAGTCCATGGAATTCTCCAGGCCAGAATATTGGAGTGGGTGCCCCTTCCCTTCTCCAGGGGATCTTCCCAACCCGGAGATCTTCCCAACCCAGGTCTCCCACATTGCAGACGGATTCTTTACCAGCTGAGCCACTAGAGATGCCTAAGAATACTGTAGTGGGTAGCCTATCCCATCTCCAGCAGATCTCCTCGACCCAGGAATCAAACCAGGGTCTCCTGCATTGCACACAGATTCTTTATCAGCTGAGCTATCAGGGGAGACCACCTTACACAGAAAATGTGCTTTATTTTTGGTTTCCTGAAACTTAAATTATTAAATTGTATCTCTAATAATAGATATGAACATTGCTCCTTCCATTTAACAAAACTACACACATCATGAAACGATTACCACAATAAGTTTGGTGAATATGCATCATGTCATCCATGTAGATAGAAAATTAAAGAAATAGGAAAAAAAGTACTTTATGATGAAAACTCTTAGGATTTACTCTCTTAACAACTTTCATATATAACATACATATATACAATCACTTGTGTGGAGATAGGTTGAATTTGGGCTTTTTTTTTTTAATCTTGTGGCTGTGTTACAATAAAATTTTATTTACAAAAATTGATGAATCCCCTGGCATCCCAGTGGTTAAAACTCGGTGTGCATGTTTTATTTTTTTAATTAATTTATTTGGATAATTGACTCAGGAAGCTCAAACTGGTGCTCTGTGACAAACTAGAGGGGTGGGATGGAGTGGGAGGTGGGAAGTTGAGTTTTTGTCTTTACTTTATTGTACTTATTTATTTCCATGTTTGACCAAGCAAAAGCATGATGAAGAGAGGAATAGACATACTCTTTTCACTTATCTTACCTACATACTGCAGGGGAGAGAGAAGTTGAAGGATAATGTGGACTTCAGAAAAAAAGCACAAGATTTTTAGCAACAAAGTTAAAAATATTCTATAAAAGCAAAATTGTAGAACAAACTTAAACCATCTATCGATCCTAAGAGGTGAAAAATTTAACAGACTCATTAAGATTAGAAATTCACCATAATACTTCAAAGTTCCTAGATATGTGAAAAATATATCATATGTATGTTATTTTTAACTATGTTAATTCTTCCAATGAGTGCAGAATACCTTTCCATTTTTTATGCCAAAGAATTGATGCTTTCAAAATGTGGTGCTGGAGAAGACTCTTGAGAGTCCCTTGGTGGCAAGGACATCAAACCAGTCAATCCTAAAGGAAATATCATTGGAAGGACTGCTGCTGAAATATAAACAAATATCATTGGAAGGACTGCTGCTGAAGCTGAAGCTCCAATACTTTGGCCACCTGATGTGAAAGGGGCTTTACAGGTAGCAGTGTGGTAAAGAACCCGCCTGCCAATTCAGGAGACGTTAAGAGACCCGAGTTCAATCCTTGGGTCAGGGAGATCCCCTGGAGGAGGGAAAGGCAACCCACTCCAATATTCTTCCCTGAAGAATCCCATAGACAGAGGAGCCCTGCAGGCGGGCTTACAGTCCATAGAGTCACAAAGAGTCTGGCATGATTGAAGCAATTTAACACACACACACACACACACACACACACACACACACACACAGCCCTGATGTTAAGAGACGACTCACTGCAAAAGACCCTGATGCTGGGAATGACTGAAGGCAAAAGGAAAAGGGGACAAGAGAGGATGAGATAGCTGGATGGCATCACTAACTCAATGTACATGAGTTCGAGGAAGCTCCGGGAGATGGTGAAGGACAGGGAAGCCTGGCATGCCACAGTCCATGGGGTTGCAAAGAGTTGGACAGGACTGAGTAATCAAACAACAACATTGAGTATGGTGTTA